TCTGCTGGTGGCCCTCGCATGATGGATCTGTCTGAGCTGGACATCCATCCCCTTGTTGACACAGTGAGACAATCGGGTGGTCTCACCCTGCCCCACTGCTGGCCCTGCCACTCTCCCGGCTCCCTAGGCAGTCGAATTTCAAATCAGAGTGGATGCAGGGAGTCAGGACATGTGCTACTTCTTAGGGAACCTTGGTAACGTGAATGACTTCAGTACATGTGCTAAATAAATCTCTGGAGAAAATCTCTGAAAGTTCTGGATGCCACCCTTTCTTAGTTTCCAGTCTGGCACAATTCTAGTCACTGTTTGCCTTTTTCTATCCCACCCCCCTCCCCCTGCCCCGCTGCTCTTTCTCTCCCATTCGCTAGCTTGTTAAGTTAGGAGAGTGGAAAGAGGGAGAAAGCAAAGGGCTGTACTCAATTCACTGAGTCTATCTAGAAGCCTAGATTGTAATTGTTAAATCCTTACCTGGGGGTATCTTTACTGAATTTAGAGAGAGAAAGAGAGAGAAAACATCGATCGGCTGCCTCCCTTATGTGCCCCAGCCAGAGATTGAACTCACAACCTAGGTATGTGCCCTGAAAAGGCGGTCAAACCCGTAACCTTTCGGTGTGTGGGACGATGCTCCAACCAACTGAGCCACCCAACCAGGTCCAGATTTGTAATTTTACAACGGGTGTGTAACGTTCTTGTTGGTAAACACAATCACTTCCTGGTTACTGAGCCTTTGGGGTTTTTCCAGAGTTCCCTCTGTGTTCTTTGCTCTTAGGAACATCTTTGAACAGAACATTTTTGGGATTTTTTCCTTCAAATTTATTGCCCAAAGTGGGCTTAAATATAACTTTACAACAAAGTCAGCCATCAAGAATGTCCTGCTTGTGCAGGGCACACGCATTCTTCAGGCATCTCCTGTGCACGGGATGGGGGCGGGAGGGGGTGGGGAGGCAGGTCGGATGGCGCCGGCGCACACAGAGAGCCCTGGTTCTCCCCTGAACCGCCAGAACGCCTCCGGAGGCTTTGTCACCCTCTCCTGAAGTTCTTTTTTCTTGTGATGAGAAGTTGTAAGATCTACTCCCTTAACGACTTTCAAATATGCAATAGAGTATTATTAACTGTATTGAATAATGATTAACCTCTTCCAAGGGCACCGTGGCTGCAGTAGGAGGACTGACTACAGGGCGGCATAACTAAAGCAGGAGGCTTTCGTGTGGAGCTGGGGCATCTCTCACTTCTCAAATCTGCGCTTCTCATTGGTCATCAAGCTGCTGCTGACCCACAGTACCTGCTCCAGTCTCGGGCCTCCCAGCAGGGCAGACCCGCTGCTGGAGGACCTGGGCAGTGGGAGCCTGGCCCTTGGCCCTTGGCCCTTGGCCCTGTCCTCCTAAGGGTTTCATAGTTTCTCGCCATGCTTGTTTCTCACGGGGACCGTATCTTGAGGGGAATCACTTGGGAAATAACTCTAAGGAAAATGTTGGCCTTCCTTGAATGGCTTTTTAAAAACAGAAGCTTCATGTTTACCCAAAAGGATTTATGCCAGAGAGTGGAGATGAGGGACGGTGCTGGGTTGGAAGAACTGCACAAAGGAGATTCAGTTTGATTAGAACCTTGAACTCGGAACCAGAAACCTGGCTCGACTCTTACTATGGCAACGACTAGCGTCCATACATTTGAACACGTTACTTAACCTTTTGGGATCTGTTTCCTCACCAGTAGAGACCATGTCTGTCCTGCTGACTTCACGAGGCCGACATGGGGTGCAATGAAATAAGGATGTGGAAGCACTGCGTCCAGAGGTGCCTTGGAAACCTGAGCCGGAAACACCCTTTTTAGGAAATGATAGCTGCTTGTAGCTGGTTGACTATGCCTGTGTGCTCAAATAATTTTCTGTGAAACACCTGTAGTGAGAGCGTGAGCGTTTTCTCCGGTCACATAGTCCTAAGGGAGATCCAGCTGGCCGACTGTCCCCTCCCCCACCCCTGCAGCTGATTTGAGAAATAGTTAAGGTTCTGCTGTCTGGCCAAGACATTCCAGGCTTTACGTGGGCTGTTCCTAGAAGGCCATTGGCCGCAGTCCCCATAGCAGAGGTTGGGGAGGTTGGCTGGGAGTCACAGGAGACCTGCAAATGAGCAGACAGTTACATGCACCCGCAAACGAGGCACAATGACAGCTGTCGCGGACTCACAGTGTTTGTGGATGTTACGTATGTAAATAACGATGAAAACTGTGACAGTTGCTTCAGTGGGAGTATCGTCAGAGTTTTGATAAGGGAGTGACTGATTCTGCCAAGGAGTGGATCAAGGAAGGATTCCAGAGGAAGGGGATTCGAGCAGATTCCTGTGAGGTACTTGGAGGCCTGTCCATGAAATAGAGGGAGTGCTTTTCTTTCTTTCTTTTTTTTTACTTTTTTTTATTACTTTATTGTTGTTCAATTACAGTTGTCTACATTTACTCTCCACCGCTCTCCCCGCCCAGCCAAACCCACTCCCTCCCTTGCTTCCACCCTCCCCCTTGGTTTTGTCCATGTGTCCTTTATAGTAGTTCCTGAAAACCCTTTTCCCCTTTTGACCCAGAAATTCCACTGCTGGATTATACCCCAAGAGTCGTGAAACACCAATCCAAAAGAACCTGTGCACCCCAATGTTCATAGCAGCACAATTTACAATAGCCAAGTGTTGGAAGCAACCTAAGTGCCCGTCAGTAAATGAGTGGATCAAAACACTGTGGTACATTTACACAATGGAATTCTGTGCAGCAGAGAGAAAGAATGAGCTCCTACCCTTTGTGACAGAACAGATGGAACTGGAGAGGGAGGGCTTTGTAAGCAAAGATCAGGGTTCTGGGAGCTGGTGCCGTGAGCAATGCGGCTGCTAAGGTTGTGGAAAGCTGTTATGTAAGCTGCTGTTGGCTTCTCTGACTAAAGATTTTACTCTTTTTTTTTTTTTGGCGCCATGTTTAGCCATCCTCAGAGCCATTCTGGGGCCCAGCATGCTCATGTTGACAAAACATAAGTGTGGGCCCCTGCAGTGCCGAGTGTGGTGGTGCCTGTTTAAATATTTGCAGAAATAATGAAAACGCGATGGTTGTCTCAGAGCTTCAGAGGTGTCTCTCTCAGACCCCGCCGGGGCATGGGCCCTGCATGCTCTGCGGTGTCTGTGTGCCTGGAGAGCCACCAGAACCAGGCGGTTGCTGCTGTAGCGAGGCTCCTAGGCGCGTCCACACTGAGAGCAGCTGCTGAGAAGTGGAGGTGGGGTCCATTCTCATGAGTACCTTCTGCAAAAATGGTACCCTTTTAGTCATTACAAAAATGTTTTAAATATTTTATTATTTTTAGAGAGAGGGGAAGGGAGGGAGAAAAAGAGGGAAAGAAGCATCAGTGAGAGAGAAACATCAATTGGTTGCATAACCAAGTCTGTGATTAAATTATCTGAGTTGGTGACATTGCCCTTGACCCCAGGCCTTGCTTTCCTTCGCCTTGTCCCAGCCCTCTTCCCAGGTACCCCATGGATGTGACGGGCTAGGCTGGCCTCTGATTCCCGGTGTGTTCTGTAACCTGGGGGCTCAGTCACACCTAGCCTGCAGACAGAACAGAGAATTCTGGGGAAGGTACCACCCACCCCGACCCTGGGCCCGGATGACCCACAGGCCAGGAGTGTTTTCCGAGTTCCTCATCAAGGCACTTTCCACAGTGTCACATTGCTTTTTCGCCATGTGCCTTAGCATCTGCCTCCTAATGGTTCCTAAGTCACATTCAGAGTTTTTTCACATCCGGACAGGGCTTTGTTCTCTTATCAAACCTTAAAACCAGTACAAGAGGTAGCTGTAAGATTGTACCTTATTTTGATATTAGGGTCATAATTTATTCAAATGGTTTCTTACTAAGGCCTAAAGAGGAAGAAGTCCCTACCAGTAATCAAAAATTTTTTTTCTTCCTTTTCTTACCCCTGGCATTTGTGGTGCTCCCCCCCGCCAATTTTTTTAATTGTGGATAATTTTAAACATACACAAAAGAGGAGAAAATTTTATAACCAAACCGCAGTTACTAGCTTCAATATCCTTAATTATTTTGAAGCAAACACCAGACATCCTGTTATTTCATCTGTCAATATTTTAATATATATTTCTACAAGATGAAAGCTTTGTAAAATCTTAATGCTTGTATTATCACACCTAATAGTTTCTTAATGTCATCAAATAACTGACCAATACTTAAATTTTCCTGAATATCTCAAAATCTTTTATTTTAATCAGGTTCCATTGCAATTGTTACAGGCCTCTTAAATTTCTTTACATCTCTAGGTGCTCCTGTCTCTGTCTGTTTTCTCCCCTTGCAGTTTGTTTACTGAGAAGGCTGCGTCTTCAGCTCCCTAAAGTTTCCCACAGCGTGGATTCTGCTGACTGCTTCCTTATAGCGCTGTTTAACATTTTCCTCATTCCTTGGTATTTCCTGTAAACCAGGGTTGCGTAATACAGGTTGTTCAGGACTCAGGTTCAATGTTTTTTGGCAAGTATGCTCCCTAGGTGGTTTTGCAAAGGAGCTTCTTTCAGGAGGCACATGATGTTTGGTTGTTTCTTTGTGTTGGTTGATTGAGTCCTTAAATGTGGTGAGTATTTTGGAGGGTTCGGGTCCCTCAGTGTGTCCCTGGGCCCAGGTGGCGGTCCTGAGAAAGTGGGGAAGAGCACATGGTGTTCGTTCGCTGAGTTCGTTCTCTGCTGAAACGGGTGATGGTGGGGGCTGCTGTGTTCTCTGTGCCCGAACCACGTGCTTCTGTTGGTTCCTTCGGTCCTTGCTAGAAGATGAATTGTGTGAACTTGGTCTGTTTCTCTTGGTCGTGAAAGGCCTGTCCACTTAAGAAATGTTACGTAAGGAGAGACTCAGGTTCTTTGAAAGTCATTTTGTGTTGAGAGGTGTTTCTGGGCTTGGCGAAACTAGCTTCTTTTGCTGATCCTCTCCGGGTATACGTTTTCATTTAATTTGTAAGGTGATTCCTCTCTTCTTTCAGGATCTCATTTTGCCCAACGGTGGTACTCCAGCAGGTACTTCGAGTCCAGCTTCTTCATCTTCCCTTCTCAACAGACTTCAGCTGGATGATGACATCGATGGCGAGACCAGGGATCTCTTTGTCACAGTGGATGATCCCAAGAAGCACGTCTGTACCATGGAGACCTACATCACGTACAGGATCACCACCAAAGTAGGTCCCTTTGCTGTCCTGCACCCGTGTGGAGCGGTCTTGGGGGAGGAGTCCTGCCTCTATAGTGTCTGCCCTTGCTCGCTCTCTCCTTCTCTGCAACTCCACTCCCCTGTGTTGGAACTGTGGGTGCGGCTTTCCGAGAGAGGGATTGCATTCAGGTGAAAAGGATTATACAATATGTAAGTTGTTTTAATTTTAAAACGAAGGATAAATTGTGACTACAGCTTTCAAAGGAAACCATCCTTACATAGTTGACCCTTGAACACCGTGGGGTTGAAGTGTGTGCGTCCATCTGCACGTGGATTTTCTCAGTAGAAACTGTGTATGTATTTTCTCCTATGATTTTGTAATAACATCTTTTCTTGAACTTACTTTATTGTAAGAATACAGTATATGATACCTATAACATGCAAAATATGTGTTAATTGACTGTTCACATTATTGGTTAATGGTCGGCTACTAGTAGTTAAGTTTGGGAGGGAGTTAAAATTTGTATGTCTGTGGAGGGGTCAGCTCCCCTCACCCCCATGGTGTTCAAGGGTCAACTCTACCTTTCCTTATTTAACATATTGATATCACATTGCACTTGCAATATGAATCACTGATTCAACCTAAATCTCTGTGGTGAGGCCGTGATTATCATCTGGTGCAATTAGGCTTGTTGGTGGGGGAGGAAGAGTAAAGAAGGGTAGAAACTAAGACTGACTACTTTCTGCTTGGTGCCACTATGATGTCACTGCCGTGTCCTCCTCTCGCCTGGCTCACATTTGGAAATTTGTCACAGGCACATGCACTCACACTGTCTTCCCCGTTTCCGTGGCCACTGGGTACCTACCATTTCCCGGGCACTGGGCTGGCTGCTTAGATGTGCATTGCCTCCTCAGAGGTCCGAGGTTGATATACGTATTCCTGTGAATTATTTCCAGTTACTTATTATTGTTTTTCCCCCTAGGGTCAGCTTATCTTTTTACCCAGCAGTCAGTGAAATGCAAAACCTGTTTTTCTTGAATTGTGCTCTAAACAGCTGAACAGCAAGGTGACTGCTTGCTGGCACAGTGGTGCCTGCCTCCCGTGATGTTTTCCTGCCCTTCCTTTGTTCCCCTGCCCTGCAGGTGACCCCCCAAATGCTAATCCCACAGGACCTTTGTCCACTGATTCACAGGCACCTGCTACAGCTCGCTGCTCTTTTCTGTGCCTCCTCTCTGTCCTTTGTCCCCCTTCTCTCTGTGTTCTTATTTCTGTGTCTTTTCACAGGGGCTTTCTGTTTCCTGTAAGTCACATAATGTCATAGGATGGCCATTTCCAAGTTCCAATCCCAACTGTTTCCTTCGCTGCGATGCTAACACCTCCAGGTGAACTTGCTGCAAAATTAAGTTTCACTTATTGCTGTCAGTTCCACTTCTCGAACTGGAGTCCTGTTCTTTTCCTGTTTAAAACAGCAACAGCAAGTTTCCTATCTTGGTGCTGCAGTTGGAGCCCTCCTTCTGAATGCCGTGTTAAGGGATATGTAGGGAAGTGTGGGGTGAGAGAGAGGACACACAGGGAGACAGGGTCCCAAACACCGGATCCTGTTCTGGGCCACCCCCCCTCCCCAACTTCTGCTGAGGGTCTCAAGGGAAGTTAATGGTCAGAGGACAAGGTCGTATGTATACTTACTCTTTTACTTTAAGCTTTGGCTCCCAGTTCTAATTCAGATTCCTGACGACCAAAGCCAGACAAGGTATACAGCTGCTTTTGCCCGAGCTAAAATAAAGTGAGCCGAGGGCTGAGAGCCAATGTAGGCAAAGCGAATCTAAGTGGTGGGTTTCTTATCTCCCCAGTGGTGGAGAGAGGTCTTTTTAGGGCAGGCTGAATCAGCAATTTTCTCTGCAGGCTCCTAGAAAGTATCATCATCATAATAACTAATTATTGAGCACCTACCATGTGCTAGACTTGTTTGCAAATAGAAACCCTTTAAATTTTATTCCACATAAGTAACATGTGCTCACTGTAGAGAAATTAGAAAACTCAAGCAAGCTAAAATAGTGAAGTGAAAGATCTCTAAGCTCTCAGGCCAGAAATAATCACTTATACTTTTATGAACTATTTGTCTCTTATTTGCTTACAAAAATGCATAGTTTGCATGTTGTCAATTCATTTAGTATGTTGCAAATGTCTTTCTGTGTTAATAAATGCCAATAAACCCGCTTTTATGCTGTCGTTTCTAATACTGCGGTAGTGCTCCGCAGTATGGATGAGCTGTCATTTATTTTGTGCTAAGTGCTTTAAATATATCATCAGTTAATCCTCACACTCAATGAAACGGATACTGGTGGTATTTTTATTTTGCACATGAGGAACCTGAGACACAGAGACATGAAGAAAATTGCTTAGAGACATGCAACTAATACGTAATGAAGCTGGAACTCAGACCCAGGACATGACATGATTTTCAAGGGGGGGATGCCCCCTGCCCTCCCCTCCACCCCCAGCACTGTGGCCTCTGCCTCCCCCAGCACGTGGTTTACTGCCGCAGCCTGGCTGTTGAAGCTGGTGATGATGCGGAAGCAGATGGAGGCTGGGGAAGAGAGAGGAGCCCCCAGCTCCCTTTAGGAGGAGCTGGTTCCTCCTGGTCTTTTGCCCCATCACCAAAGTAGTCATTACCGAGACTTACGCCCCAACAAGTTTTTCTTTTCAAATGCCTCAGTGGTCCACGCTAAATACTGCTCAGAGGTCCAGTTGTAGGTGAGGATTACAAAGAGAACATCCGGTGTGATGACAAGAAGGTTATGGATGATTGTGGGAGAGCAGTTTCATTGGTGTGGCGGGGCAGAAGCTGGTTTGCAGTGGGCGAGGCTGAGTGAGAAGTGAGAGAGAGAGTCATTGTGAGTGCTGGCAGTTTGGCAATGAAAGCACACGTAGAGAAAGAACAGTAATGGAGGGGGGTGTTGGTGTCAGGGGGATGGGCTTTTTGTGTGTGTTTTCAGGATGGGAGAGACTTGGTCACGTGCCAGGTGGGCAGTGCGGGTACAGAAGGAGCCGGTAGGTTGGAGATCAGAGAGCAGAAAGCCTCCTGGAGGTGGGAGGAGATAAGTATCCGGAGCAGAAATGGAGGAGGGAGCAGCCTTTGATGAGGGAGGGGAATCTTTTTTCATTGTTTTTGGAGAAAGGAGGGAATTTTTTTGTGGCAGAAAGTTGGGGGTTCTTGACCTATAGCTGCATTTTCCTCTGTGGATAGGTCATGAGGTCCTCTACTGAGAGGGATGGGGAAGTTTTTAAGTGGGGCTGAGAAGTTTGCAAACTCTGCACAGGCTTTGTACTAACTGATGTGGAAAATGAGGGAGAGCGTGAACTGAGGACACAAAGAAAGATTGCTGGCCGGTGCCGAGGGTCCAGTTGTGGAAGGTATGGCGTCGATCAGTGTGCTTTGCTGGGTTGGCTTGGCCTTCAGGAGTGTGCTCACACACCCAGGTCTACCAGAACGAGAAGTGGGTGGTTGCATTTTTGCTAGACTTGTGTGATGGATGGTGGGGGCGGGGCATGGGGGCAAGTCAGAAGTAGAAGTGATGGCTCAGGGAATTGACGCTGATTAAGGAAGGAAGTAAAGACCGGGGTGGACAGAATGTCAAGGAACTGTAGGTCCCAAGAGGCCAAAAACCCAAGTGGTGGTCTGGAACATAGGCGATGCCAGTTAGAGAGGGAGACATCTGCGCTTCTGTGTGATGACAGTGTGGGGAGAGGCCGTGGGAAGGGGACATTGTTGGCCTAGTGGTGGGTGTCGTATGTGCGGGCTGACTGGCTCTGGAGGGTATCCAGGCCCCGGAAGGGCTCTGGCAAGGAAACCTCAGAGCTGGGTGCCATCAGGGAATCAGGAGAAATGAATGACAGGGCTGTCAGTAGGTGACAGCGTGAGGAGGGAGAGAGATGGGTACTGCTGGATGGTGTGAGCCTCAGGGGGCTCTCACGGGGCTGGGGCAGGGGGTGGTGGCAAGGAGCAGTGTGGGGTGAGCAGGATGGCCGTGACAACTCTTGTTCTTGGAAATGAGGTTTGTGAAATGTGCAAAAATGAGCAGCTTCCCACTTGACGGGACGGGGGAAGGCTGTGTTCTCAGCTTGCAGGGTTGGAACAGGTTGAAGAACTACAGGGCTTTAGTATTAGTGATGCAGTGGGTGTTCGGAGAGCTTGGTGGAAATGTTAGAGAAAAAGGAGGTAAGTGACGGCTCTCCAAGGAAGCCTAGAGGAGGAGGAGGAGGAGAGGACGCCAAGAGCCTCTCCTGGCACCCTTCGGAGCTGGTCTTCCAGGGCTCTGGGGGTTTTGAAGTGGAATGAGCTTGGGTGGCTAATATTTGATGAGGGAAGAGGTCCCTTTTGGGAAAGTGGGGTCTCTCAGACTTCTTAAGATTTAGTCATGGCCAGGAGAGATGGCATTCCTGACAAAGACCAAGCCTCTCTAGAGGGAGTTGGTTGTCAATTTTGGATTGAGTGGAAGTTCTTTGGAAGGACTCCGGGCCACCGTCATTGGACACACTGACTTGGGGAGCCAGAGGAGCTCTTCCACGGGAGGATGAGGCTCGGAGGACAGGGTACCTCCTGGGTGACTGATTAGTCTTAATTCCCCTCTTCAGGGTTCAAGTCTGTTTTCTTTCACAGATGTTCCTTTCTCTGGCTCTGTGCTGGGTCTACGAAAGTGTTGAAAAAAATTGGCAGGGATGCCTAGAGATCATCGTGAGGATATTCATAAGGAGCGACGGTGAAAACGAACCGTCTTCATTACCACGCATGTGCGCAGTTACCTATTTGTTCATCTGACTTTAGGTGTGAACCCGTGACCTTGGGATCTTTGTGGGGCATCCTAGCTGGAGGAACATGGTGTGGACGGACACACACGGGACAGAACGCTGCAGTGTTTGTCTCTGAGTGTGACTCACGGGTGTGCACTTTCCTTCCTTTTTTATTGCTTTGTTTACCACAGACACTAGAAAACAGAGATAAACACTTACTACCTTACTTTTGTAAGTTAGACCCTGAATTTCGCAGAGGAGAACTTTACTGAAAACTCATAGTTGGAGTTTTAGTGGCTTGCATATTTTACGAGTGCTGCGACTGGGTTTCTCTCCAGAGACTCGACAATGCCGGTGGCCCAGTTTTAGCCAGCGAGCAGAATTCCAAGGTGAGTGTGTTTCGCTAGCCTCGCTCCTGGCTCTGCTTTTCTCTCTCTCTCTGTTTTTCCCCCATCTTTCTCACCTACTTCTAAGTTGTGTCATTTGACTGTATCTCACGTATCACTATATCTTTTCTAGAATGAGTCGTAAAAATAAGGAAAACAAATACCGGGTCAGGGAGTGCGAACATTCTTCTGTATTATGACGGTTATTTTTCACCCTGTTACTCCCCAAAGATTCAAACAAGCTTTACTGCATTCTTAAACCCCCTTTGTCTTTAAAGGACCTGTCTAAAAAACGAGCAATTTGTGTGTGTGTGTGACTGTTAAGTATTGTGTGAGAACAGGTGACAATTTGGAGATAAGGATGGCTGTAAAGAGGACAGTTGTCAGTATCAGTTCTAGATATTCCCTCTAACCGTTTACATCCAACTTTTTAACAGTGAAATCATAATTTATGTACAATTGAGCCTGGTAGCAGTGCTGGGACTACTGGTGGCAAATGAATGTGGAAAAATCGTGTTTGCCTGTAAATTAGTTTAATTTCATTTAACATTGGTTTTCATGATCAAAGTGCTACAATTACATTTTGGATAACTGAAATCAGGAAGGGGGATGAGATCAATGTTTTTCTTCAGTGCAATGACATTTTGATATTATTTCCTTGTAGATTTTTTTTGTCATTTAAAATACAATGTAGTTTTAAGGTTATGATTCTGGTCAGAATATGGCAGATGAGGCAAAACCTTTTCTATTTTCATCTAATTTGTCTTCTAAGAGAGCAGGTGGTCTGTTATTTCTTTTTTACTTTTTATTTTATTTTATTTCATTTCATTTCATTTTCTGATTTTAGAGAAAGAGGAGGCAGGAGAGAAATATCAGTTTGTTTCTCCACTTACTTATGCATTCATTGATTGATTCTTGCATGTGTCCTGACCAGGGATCGAACCTGCAAACTTGGTGTATCGGGACAGTGCTCCAACCAACTGAGCTAAATTCAGATTCAGTAGCAATACCCTCAGTGGAATGATTCTGCTAAAATAAAGTCTCCAAGTTAAGTTTGGAGGAAATGAATCAAATGTTTCCGAACACAATTCTGAGGGATAGTTGAGTTCCATTTCCTGAGGGTAGAAATAAAAAAAACTGGACATTTTCATTCTAGATCCTTGAGTTTTTAACTGGGCCGCGTGGCCCAGACTCTTCGCTCTGTGTTGGTGAGCCCTGCCTTTTGGCCGGTGTGTTTGGTGGAAGGAAAGTGTGTTCTTGCCCAGGTCAGTTGTTCACAGAGAGCTTTTGTCTTCCCCTTCGGCCAGACGAGGCTCCTATTCCCTCATGCTCATTCTGTTCCATGCTTCTTATTTGCAGAGCACTCGGGTGGAGTTTGACCTGCCTGAATATTCGGTCCGGCGAAGATACCAGGACTTTGACTGGCTGAGGAACAAACTGGAAGAATCGCAGCCCACTCATCTCATTCCCGTAGGTACTAAGTCGTCGTAGCTTGTTACTCACTCCTCCTGCATTATCTTTCCTGAGACTCTGCACTCCACTCTCACCCGCTAAATTACGGGCAAACTGCCCTGCATTCTGAGACCAGATCCACCCCTCACCTGTTTATGGACCCTGTATAATATATTTTACCCTTTGGGCTTTGGTTTCTGGTTTGCTATAGGGTACGCTGCTTTCTTGAGTGGGCGGGGGTAGGTTTTCTCTTCCATTGTGATGATTTGTTGAAGTATGGAGAGTTCTAGTTCTCTTCTGCTGCCTGGGTAAAGACCGTTTCCACCTTCCTGGAGACTGCTCTTGAGGTCCGGGAAGCTGCCCCAGGTGAGGGGCAGGGCCTCGGATCCCAGCAGGCTGGGCTTTCTGTGGACAGAGTCGTCAGGGAGCGGGGGTCTGGCACACAGTCCGCTCAACCAGCTTTCCGTGTGAAAAACAACCCCCAAAGCCGCCTTACCTCCCTGGTGTAAGCAGCACAACATGTATCTATAATTTCTTCTATCTGCACATTTTTAAACAGAATCAGAGCAAATAAAATGGAAAAGACTACTTAAATCAGCAGACACACTGAGTACTTTTCTGATTCCTTTTTATTTTTTTTTAGTAGGAGTGACAACTACGCTCCAGATGTTTCTTGGGGCTTTGGTGGCTTTAGGGCAATTTAGGCCATAAGTCTCTTCGGCGGGGCTTTATCTTCCCGTAACAACCTTGGTTGAATAACTTCTTAGCGCTATGAATTTTCCTGTTGCCACTGCATCTTTGAACACTTCCTTTTTTCCCATGGGTGGAAGAGGCCGAATATGCAGGACACTCTGGGGGTTTTCCTGGTTTTCAAGGTGAGAGCAGCCGTGTTGCTGGTGCTGTGATGGGCAGATGGACTTGGTCGGGACTCCATTCTTTCTCCCCACCCCCACCGCACCCCCACCCCACTCCCACCCTGTGTCACCCCTGCTCTCCAGGCCTGAAGTTTTGCTTTTCTGTCTTATAATCACTTAAAAACATGCCTGAAGAAGGGACTATCGCTTTTGAAACTGTTGGAAGTATTCCTTAAAATAGAATCTTTAAAAAAAATCTGAATTTGGCAAAGTTGGCAGCTAGTGAGCTATTTTTTTTAAATAGACTTTTTATTTTAGAACAGTTTTAGAGTTCCAGGATTATCGGGAAGACAGTACAGCGAGTTCTCTCCTACCCCACGCTCAGTTTTGCTCATGAACCCTACAGTGAGGCACCTCTGCACCGTGAGTGGACCCGCAGTGGCATCTTACCGTTAGCCTCAGAGTCCTTCATGGTCTCCGCCCGATGGCCCTCTTCTGCCCCAGGATTGCATCCGGAACACGGCATTACATTAATGCCTCCTTAGGCTCTGCTCGGCTGTGACAGTTCCTCAGGCTTTCCTTATTTTCGATGCCCACTGGGCAGATGTTTTGTAAATGTCCCTCACTTGAGATTTAGCTGATACTCCCCTCGTAATTAGACTGGGGTGGTGCTTTTGGGGAGGAAAAGCGCAGAGATAAAGTGCCATTCTCTCTGCATCTTGTCCAGCGGCATTGATCTCTGTTGACGTTAGCCTTGATCACCTGACTGGGGGTTGTGCCTGGCAGGTGTCTCCACTGTGCACTCACCCTTCCTGTCTCCCCGCTTTCCTGACTGTGTCTTGGGGAGGAAGTCACTATGTATGGGTAGCCCATGCTACGCGCTTAAGGGGAGTTGTGTCCTATCTCCTGGCCAACAGTGTATTTCAAGTTCGGTACTTAACTATCAAAGGTCAGGCAGCCACACCCACTGATGAAACATGGTAGCACTCCAGTCACTGAAGCCCAAATGAAAGGCAGTGGAAGAGAGTCTCCAGATGCCCAGGAGTGATCCGAAGTGTGGTTTTCCTAGGGTCTGGGAGAAGTAGTTGAGTAGGAAGGTATTTTAGAAGCAAGAAGAGACTTAAATTTCTTCGTAAACTCTTAGTGCCTATGTGGGCTGGACAGAGATTTAATGTAGGAGAGCATCTCTGACCTAAACAGGAAAGTCAAACTGGAAACAACAGAAAAAAGTTTTCCCTGTACAAATGGATTTTACAGCAACTTTGCTAGGAAGTGTCTACCTATTATTAAGCATCGCCTTCGTGTTGGTCTTTTTACAAGGTCTGATGGCTATTCTTGGGAAGGCGACGGGTCAAAGACAAAGGGGTACCCCTACCTTGGAGAGTTTATTGTCAGATGGAGACCCACTAAACAAGCAATGTAATTATTGTTTAAATTTTATTTTTTTCTAAAAAATAGCGTAATTGAGATACAATTCATATACCATACAATTGACCCATTTAAAATGTGCAAGTCACGGGTGTTTAGTGCATTCACAAGTTGTGCAGCTACCTGCTGGACTCATTTTAGAACCTTTTTATCACGCCCAAGAGAAACCTCCCCCTACTCCTTGCCTTTCGCTTCCAAACCCTCTGTCTTCCCTGGTGCCTGGCATCCACGAATCCACTTTCTGTCTCTGTAGAATTGCCTATTCTGGATGTTTCATACAAGTAGGATTACACCCTGTGTAGTCTTTCGTGACTGGATTTTGTCACTTAGCGCAATATTTTCAAGGTTCGTCCATGTAGCAGCATGTGCCAGCGCTGCATTCCCTGTCATTGGTGAATAATATTTCATCGTGTGAATATATCACAGTTTGCCTGCCTGTGCACTTTTGATGGTCACTGGGGATGTTCCCACTTTTTCGCTATTGTGAGTAATGCTGCTATGAACATTTATTTGTGTGCAAGTTTTTGTTTTCTCAGGTGGATACCTAGAACCATCATTGCTAAATCACGTTAACTCTATATTTAACCATGTGAGACTGTTTTCCAAAGTGGTTGCATCATTTTCCATTCTTCCAGCAGTGTATGAGGATTCTAGTTTCTCCACGTCTTTATCAGCCTTGGTTATTCCTGGGTTTGGTTATAGCCATCCTAGCTGGTGGGAAGTGGTATCACTGTGGTTTTGATTTGCATTTGCATTACATTAATGAGGTTGAACATTTTTTATGTGTTTGTTGGTCATTTGTTATCTGCCTTGGAGAAATACCTATTCTGATCTTTTGCCCATTTAAAAAAATTTTTTTATTATTCAGTTTGTAATAGTTCGTTTTTGAAGTATATTTTATTGATTATGCTATTACAGTTGTCCCAATGTTTTTTCTCCCCTTTATCCCCCTCCTCCCTGTACCGATCCCCTCATCCACCAGCATTCCCCACCCCCACAGCTCATGTCCGTGGGTTGTGCATACCAGTTCTTTGGCTTCTCCATTTCCTATACTATTCTTCACCTCCCCCATCTATTTTTTGCCTAGCTATTATGTTTCTTATTCCTTGTACCATTTCCCCCCATTATCCCCCTCCTGCTGATAACCCTCTGTGTGATCTTCATTTCTATGATTCTGTTTCTGTTCTAGTTGTTTGCTTAGTTTTTTTTTTTTTCAGTTCTTGGTATAATCTAGATACAATCCCTTATCAGATATATGATTTGCAAATTTTTTTCTCCCATTCATCGGGTTGTCTTTTTACTTTCTTGATGCTATACTTTGAAGTACAAAGGTTATAAATTTCAGTAGAGTCCAGGTGATCTGTTTCGTCCTTTGGCTGCTTACGGTTTTGGTGTCACATCTTAGAAAGCATTAACTAGTCCTAGTTCATGAAGATTTACACCTTCGTTGTCTTCTAAGATTTGTATAGTTCTAGCTCTCACATTCGGGTCTTACATACACATTTTGTGTCCATCTTTGTGCAGCAAGTTTTTTTTTTTTAATTAGTGATGCTGAATATCTTTCCATGACTTTTTTTTTGACATTGGCATTTCTTTTATAAATGCCTCTTCATTTTTCTATTTTTTTTCTTATTGGTTGTAAAAAACCTATTTCTATTATACAAAGTAATTAAACTCAGTTGAAATATCTACTTTTTCTTCAGTTGTCATCGGTCTTAGGCTTGATTCTGTTTAAAAAAAAAATCCCTTCCTTCCCAGCCAAGTTAATCTTTCTTTCTGGCTGTGAAGCTTTTTTGCAGCCTAGGATGTTAAAAATATATATTTGCATTTTCTTCTATTACTTTTGTCTTTATTTGTAATATGTAAATGTAGATTTTATTCTGATGTCAGAAAGGAGGACCTTACTTTTTTCACATGGAAGTTGTCCCGGAATCACTTACATACCCTATCACGTTTAACATAATTTGTGCATTACACTGCATCATTCATTAGACTGTGTATTCTTGGGCTGTTTCTGAACCGTTTTGTTCATTGATCTGTCTAGTCTGGTACTCCTCTTACACTGTCTGAGTTAGTGTAACTTCACAGACCACTTCAACATCTGGTTGACAGGTCCCCATCAATGCCCCCATCTCCCAGTAGACTTTGTTTTCATAGCTCTCCTGGCTATATACACATTTTATTTTTCAAGATGAACTTTAGAATCTTTTTTGCATATATTTTTATTTTTTCAACTTTTTAAAATTATATTTTATTGATAATGCTATTACAATTGTCCCAATTTCCCCCCTACCCCCCCCCACCAACACCCCCTACTCCCTCCAGTGATCCCCCTCCTTTGTTCACGTCCATGGGTCATGTGTGTAAGTTCTTTGACCACTCCGTTTCCTATACTGTACCTTACATCCCCATGGCTATTCCGTAACTACCTATTTGTACTTCTTAATCCCTTCACCTCTTCGCCCATTCCCCTACACATCCCTCCCATCTGGCAATGATCAAAATGCTCTCCATATCTGTAATTCTGTCTCTGTTCTTCTTGTTTGCTTACTTTGTTTTTTAGATTCAATTGTTGATAGATATGTTTTTATTGCCATTTTATTGTTCATAGTTTTGATATTTTTCCTTTTCTTAAATAAGTCCTTTTAATATTTCTTATAATAATGATTTGGTGATAATGAACTTTTAGTTTTTTTGTGTCTGGGAAGACCTTCGATTCTAAATGATAGCTTTGGT